CTCCTACGTGGGTTTGAGTCCCATTATGGGTACGGAGGTATAAAATGCAGCCCAGTCTGGATAAAAATACCTTATGGGAGGCAAGGCTGTTAAATTCAGCGGAAATCTAGAGCAGCATACTCCATCCATACTGCGTTCTTTTTCATAATTGCTATCATCATTTCCAGAATCGTACCAAAGACTGGGTACATTGCCAAAATATTTCTTTGGTATTGCTATTTGCATTTTCACTAAGAAGACCCTTTCTTATCGTCGAGCTACAACGCGTCAAAGACTTGTTCGTAGATGAATTGCGAAAATGAGATAAAATAATATTCTATACAACGAGAGCCGACTGGCACCATTCTCCTGGCCTTCGTAATTTTACTCAAGTCGTTTAATTCTTTGAAATTAGAATGCGATTTGAGTGTTAATGATCGACACAGAAACAAATGGTGTATATGAAGCGAAACGATGCAGGAAGTTTGTCAGTGTCTGGATAAAATTATTTATTTTATGACTTTTATTTTAATTGTCCTAGCATCTTCATCCAGTTTTCTTGCCTCCAGTATGATGTGCAAAAGCTTGATCGTCTCACTTTTAGTGCAATTTCAATACTTTCTGGAGATAGTTATTCCGACCTTGCGCATTATCACGGCAAATAACGAAAGCGCATCAAGATCAGCGTTGATAATGAATATTGCCAGTTCGATTGTACATACCTTTGTCTGTTTTTACCCCACCGATTTCAACTCTAAACTGGACGCATGTATTGAGTGGTTCGCGCAAGGCTTAGCCTAACTGGAGGCTCTTCGGTCCTACTTTGCTGAACTCAACGCCGAATGCTCTTGAAGTAGTCCGTCCTCGCATCTTTGGGCTACATGGACAGTTGAGCCAATCGACGTCTATGGGGTATGAAGATTGGGCCGAGACAACGTCAATCGCGAGAACAGCACAATAGAGCAAATGACGGTGGGACACACACGAAGGGGGGGATGACCAGCATGAGGTCGAGGGTTCGCATGGGGGTGGGATTGCAGAAGGGAAGAGGGCCGCAAGAGAGGGCCACAACTGGTTCATTGGGATTCACAGAATCAGCAAGCTCCAAGGGTCTTGAAGGGAAGCGCTGTTGCCTGTGCTCCTTCGGTTTTGACGTCAGCAAGGCTAGAAGTGTAACAAATTTATGAATAAATTAGAGTAAATCGTCGAATGCGAACTGAACTGTTGTGAGTAACCGTGTTTGTGAGTGCCCTTTTGTGCCTGTGTGTGTGTGTGTGTGCACGTGTGTCTATTTTGGGAAGAGAGAAGGAGAATGGAAGAGAGCGAAAGAGGGCAAAAGCAGTAGAAAGAACAAAGTCAGCTTTGGAGGGGAGATATGTCAATTTGGATTAATGGCAGCCCGAGTGACTGGACGAGCTGAGGAGACGCGACTCACGGCAGATTGTCAGAGAGTTTTCCTACTCAAAACTTATCGCATTACCCAACACGCTTCCAGCTGTGATTTTCAACTTTGATACAAAGGCACCGTAAAGGTGTCCGCACCTCTAGCTAGCCCGCTCTACCCCTCTATCTCACATTCTTTGTCTCTCTGTCAGCCCACGTTTGTCCCTATATCTATTTGTGTATCGTCCGCCTAAGATTCTGTTGTCTGAAGATACCCGTTGACCAAATTCATGCGCTCTTAGTCTGAAGGGCCGGAAATAAAGGGAAACAAACTGCTCAAGTGTTCAAATAGGCCCAGTTGGGCGTCAGCATTCTGCTTAGTGGCCAAGTGTGTGTCTATACGCCTGTGCACATATCCTTTTGTGTGTGTATGTGTGTGTGTGTGTGTGTGGGTGTATGCGTCGCATATGGCTGTTTGTTATGCAAGTGACATGCATGTGAGTGTGAATGTGCAGATGAAGATATCTGTGTGAGTAATTGTGCAATTATATGTAAGAGTATGCGCGCGTGTACTGTTGCGCCTGAGTGCGTATTTGTGTGTTGTTGTGCCGGGAAGCCTGGGAGACGGAAGAATGCGATCGCTGATGGATAGACAGGAGAAAGACGAGACTTCGACGGACTGGGAAGGAGGAGGATATAGTAGCCCTTTATAGACGGTTCTGATTTATGCTCACTTAGAAGAAGAATTAAACTCGGTAGAATGGTGTGTCTGGAACCATCATCACTGATCCCTTGGTTTCCAGT